TCGTGCATTCATGGTGGGGGGGGGGTGTCCCTCAGCTCGGCCTGCGCCCTCTCATAGTCTGGGAGCCCTCAAGGAAAGTCCAATTGACGGCTTAGGCCCTTTCCCCATGTGGAGCGCAGGGAGCGGGCCTACGCCGACAGACAGTTGGACATCCTTAGCTCTGCCATGAGCCTGGCTTCTGGCTGAGTGGTGCTCCCCTTGTAGGAACACACTGACCACCAGGGGGCAGCTCCTGCATTGAGCATCTGCCCCCTGGTGGTCAGTGCACATCATAGCAACTGGTCGTTCCACCATTCGGTCGATTCGCATATTAGCCTTTTATTATATAGGATATATATATATATATATATATATATATATATATATATATATATTATATATTTTATTGATTTTTTACAGAGAGGAAGGGAGAGGGATAGAGAGTTAGAAACATCGATGAGAGAGAAGCATCGATCAGCTGCCTCCTGCACACTCCCTACTGGGGATGTGCCTGCAACCAAGGTACATGCCCTTGACCGGAATCGAATCTGGGACCCTTGAGTCCGCAGGCCGACGCTCTATCCACTGAGCCAAACCGGTTAGGGCTATTTTTTTTTTTTTTTTAAAGAAAAGGCCCTGGCTGGTTTGGCTCAGTGGATAGAGCATCCGCCTGTGGACTGAAGGGTCCCGAGTTTGATTTCCAGTCCGGGCACATACCCGGGTTGCGGGCTCAGTCCCCAGTGGAGGGCGTGCAGGAGGCAGCCGATCAATGATTCTCTCTCATCATTGATGTTTCTCTCTCTCCCTCTCCTTTCCTCTCTGAAATAAATTTAAAATATATATTTTTTAAAAAAATAAGAAAAGAAGTATAGGATGAGTTATCATGCCCCCTGCGACTCCATCTTCTTTCTGGGTTTCTCTACTTCCCACAGCGGATCCCCCCCCTCCCCCCACCAGCCTGGGTCTCTGTTCCTGCCCGTATGTACGGATTTGCTGGTCCTCCCTCTGCCCCCGCGCAGCCCAGGACTTACTCTGAGAAGATAGTTGAGCCGGGCCAAGGCCTCCAGGAAGATGTCGGCCCCCTTGTTGGAGAACTCGTAGCGGCCGGCGATGAAGAAGTACAAGGTCTTGTCCAAGTTGAAGTCCAGGTGCCTAAAGAAGCCATGAGGCAGGGTGAAGCCGAGGCCCTCCCCCTCTAGCCCTGGCCTCGAGGCTGCCAACCCCAGAAGCTGCAGGGGCAAAGGTCATCATAGTCAGTGTGGAGGCATCGTGGAGACTGCTGAGGTTTGGGGTTCTTTTCTCCTTGGATGGGGACCTAAGATCCTTCAACACTCAGCCATTGCTCTTGGCGCTCAGGAACTGGAGAGGCTGAGCTCCCGACCCCTCCTCTCTAGAGGCCGAGGTATCTGGCCCACATACCCATAGAAATGGCCCCGCACAAACTCCTGGATCCGGGCCTTGCTCTGAGCGTGGAGGTTCTGGAACTCGTGCATGGCAGAGAACTTCTTCACGTTCAGTCCGTTGGGGGTCACGATATCTGGGAATGGGGGAGAAGGGCCCAGGTTTCACGTCTTCATTCAGATCGATGTGGCCGAATGAATCATCGAAGGAAAGACCCCTTTCCTTTTGTAACGTCTTTGTTTCGATCGTTCCCCTGTGTGTTCCCTTGGTGACCCAGCTGCCCTGCCACTCAGCCGCCTTCTTGCCCAATAACTACAACTCCCATCAGCCTCTGCAAGTGGCGAACCAGGCAGGGAACTAATCATCTACATTGGGGTTTCTGGGAGTTGCGGTTCTTTCGTTGGCCCTATACTTCCCTGGGCTGGAAATGATTAGACATCTCCATCCTGCTTCTGCTCCCAGAATACACCCTCCTACCTTCAAGCCTCTTTGAGGGTCCCAACCACTTTCTATCCTCACAAAAATGAAAGCACATCATTGAAAAACTACAACCCCCATCAGCTGCTGGGAAGAAATTTTAGGAACATAAGGAACTGACCAGCCAAAGACCTTCTAGAAGCTGTAGTTCTCAACTTACATCCATTGAAAATTGATGATATAGTCTGGGAAAAATAAGTGGTTCTTTATAATATATATAATACATATATTGATTCAGAGAGGAAGGAAAGAGAAAGAGAGAGAGAAACATCCATGATGAGAGAGAATCATGGATCGGCTGCCTCCTACAAGTCCCCCACGACCCAGGCATATGCCCTTGACCAGAATCCAGAATCGAACCTGGGACCTTTCAGTTCACTGGCCGATGCTCTATCCCAACTGGCTAGGGCAATAAATAAGTGGTTCTAATACTGCTTTTCTCAAAAACAAAATCCAAAGAACTTCCATCCCCTTTCAGAAGACCAATACCAATAGAAGAATTTTCCAATTTCTGAAATTAATGTCAAAGAAACTACACCTTCCATTAGCCTCTAGAGCAGGGGTCCTCAAACTTTTAACAGGGGGCCAGTTCACTGTCCCTCAGACCGTTGGAGGGCCGGACTATAGTTAAAAAAAAACTATGAACAAATTCCTATGCACACTGCACATATCTTTGAAGTAAAAAAACAAAACGGGAACAAATACAATATTTGTATTTGCATGTGGCCCGCGGGCCGTAGTTTGAGGACCCCTGCTCTAGAGCAGCGGTTCTCAACCTTCCTAATGCCGCGACCCTTTAATACAGTTCTTCATGTTGTGGTGACCCCCAATTTCATTGTTACAAATTGAACATAATTAAAGCATAGTGATCAATCACAAAAACAATATGTAATTATATATGTGTTCTCCGATGGTCTTAGGCGACCCCTGTGAAAGGGTCGTTCGACCCCCAAAAAGGGTCGTGACCCACAGGTTGAGAACCGCTGCTCTAGGGTGTACAGGTCACCTCATATCCAGGTCACCAACCTAGGGCCTTCTGGGAGTTGTAGTTCTCTGTTCTTTACAGTAAAAAAAAAAAAAAAATTGGTGGGGGCCTTGGCTTAGATAACCAACTACCTCATTCCTGTCTAGGGATCCCAGCCTATTACCTACCTGGTTTCCTCTTGAGAAGGTGCTGAGCCTCGATGGCGGTGATCTGGGACACGGTAGCGAAGACATGAGCGCAGTGGGCTGCTGCCCGCTCCATGCAGTAGCGGTGATAGATTTGCCTCTCACCTGCTTCCTTGTCCACATTGAACTGGGCGGGAAGAAAGGGCGCTCAGGTTCGGAGAATTGGGTGGAAGCCTGGAGGTTCAGACTCTCCAGACCTGGGGGAGACCGGAGGCTGGACGCCTGGGTCTTAGGGAGGAGGGCTCTGGGGATGTGGGGCTCCTGGGTCCTGAAGCCCAATCCCTTAGGGCAGTGGTTCTCAACCTTCCTAACGCCGCGACCCTTTAATACAGTTCCTCATGTTGTGGTGACCCCCAACCAGAAAATTATTTTCATTGCTACTTCATAAGTGTAATTTTGCTACTGTTATGAATCGTAATGTAAATATCTGATAGGCAGGATGTATTTTCATTGTTACAAAGTGAACATAACTAAAGCATAGTGATTCATCACAAAAACAATATGTCATTATATATGTGTTTTCCGATGGTCTTAGGCGACCCCTGTGAAAGGGTCGTTCGACCGCCAAAGGGGTCGCGACCCACAGGTTGAGAACCGCTGCCCTAGGGCTCTGCAGACAGCTCTGGGCTGTCCTGAAGTACTGGCCGCCCCCCCATGGCCACACCCCCAGCTCACGTTCTCTAGGTTGTTGTAGAAGTCCACGGCACCGGCACACAGGTATCGCCCCAGCAGCGTGGCGTGGGTGGTGAAGATGGTGGCCACAGGCAGCCGCCGGGCCCGGCACAGGCAGAGCCCGACCCCCGCCAGCCATTCGTGGAAGTGTGCCACCACGTGTGGCTTCTCCTCGCTCTGGGCCAGGAACTGTGGGGCAACAGGAGCAGGGCCGCTGTGTCTCCACGGGTTGTGAAGACAATCCATCAGCAATCCCCCAAGTGGAGGAGGCAGCAGCGGGAAAGTAAATCTATTGCAACCCCTGCACCGAGCGAATGGCGGCCCACTGCAACCCCCAGAAGACGAGAAACCATACATTTTTGAGGCAGCCGGGCCAGCTGAGGCTGATGGGAGCTGGGGTTATTTTGGCCAACCTTCTAAGTCTCAGCAAGGCTGAATCGGAAAGACTGAAGTTTTCGTGTCCCCAAGATTCTGGACACAATTCCTAGAGACCCTCGTTCTCAATCACGAATAGACCTGCCTGCAATAGCGGCGAAAGGACTACAACTCCCAGAATGCTCGAGAAGCAGCCAGTTCATAAATTGTTTTCCCCCAGGGCATGGGAAATGAAGTTTCTTGAGCCTTTTAAGACCTAAAAGGGGGTCAGAACCAAGTTTCCTGGTTCAGACATAGGCTGGCGTGTCCCAAACATCCAGGGCTCCACCTGAAAGTCCAACCACTGTCAGACTGGAGAACTACAACTCCCAGAATTCCCCGGGCGAGCTCTCCAGCCAGGCCGACCTCTCCAAGAACTAATGGCTCAGAATTCCCTAACGGGGGAGGTTAGAGTGAATAAGGCTGAGGTTGGGCGTTTGGGTCTCTGAGGGAAAAGAGTCTGAGTCCTTGGGCATCCATGTTTCCAAAGATAAGAGCTAATCCTTTGGTTAGAGGACCCACAACTCCTGGAATGCCCAGTTCCCCTCTGTCCCCACCCAGACCCTTCTGTCCAGGGGCTGATGGTCACTGTAGTTGGGGGCCTGGGGCCAAAAGGAGTGACATGGGGACCAGCGATGGGACCTACCTCACCCAGGAACCAGGTGGTGAGGAAGCCAAAAAGGACGGCGTCGTTGGCCTCGCGGTCGTACCAGGGCACCCCGATGTTGCAGGTGTCCCAGAGCTCCCCCTTCCAGCGCTCCAGGGCCCAGGCTGAAGCTCCCACATCCAGGAGCACCACCAGGGGGCCCCCTTCGATCAGCCAGCGCCCAAAATACACCTGGGGAGACCCACAGGGAGGCTTAGGGCTGTGACCACAGTCTCGGGGCACAGCATCCCTGCTTCTTCCACTAGCAGAGATGTCTGGGCTTCCTGCCTCGGTTCCCCCACCCGGTTTCTGCATCTGCTGCTAACTTCTCATCCGCTGCCTTATTTCTCTATTTGCTTTGTTATTCCCACCACAATCTTTTTTTTAAAAAAAATGTTTTAAATTGATTTCAGAGAGGAAGGGAGAGGGGAAGAGAGACAGAAACATCAATGATGAGAGGGAATCATTGATAGGCTGCCCCCTCACGCCCCACACTGGGGATCAAGCCCCAACCAGGAATCAAACCGTGGTTCACAGGCGATGCTCAACCACTGAGCCACGCCAGCCGGGCAATCTGATTTTAGAGAGGGAGGAGGGGCGAGAGAGAGCGCAAAACATCGAGGTGAGAGAGTTACATTGATAGGTTGCCTCCCCTACGTGTACCGACCGGGTTGAACCCACAACCTAGCCATGTGCCCTGACCTGGAATCGAACCAGCCAACTTTCAGTACAGGGGACGATGCTCCAACCAACTGAGCCAAACCAGCCAGGGCCCACCACAGTCTTTTCTTTTCTTTATTTTATTTTATTTTTAAAAATATTTTTATTGATTTCAGAGAGGAAGGGAGAGGGAGATGGAGAGAGAAACATCAATGATGAGAGAATCATTGATCACCCTCCTCCTGCATGCCCCACACTGGGAATCGAGCCGGCAACCCGGGCATGTTCCCCAACCAGGAATCGAACCGTGACCTCCGGGTTCATAGGTTGACACTCAACCACTGAGCCACGCCGGCCGGGCGCCACCACAATCTTGTCCATGCCTGTTGCAACGCTTTTCCGGTCCCTTGCTTCGATTCTGTAACTGCTGCTCTCGCCCACCTGCTGCCTCTCCTCTCTTTCTAACCACACTTTCGCAGTCCTGTCCCTGTGCCCCCCCTGCTAACCATTACTCGGACCTTCAGCCTTGCTTGTCTGCTGCCACATCTCTCTCCTTGACCACCAAGATGCTTTCTGCCAGGATCTTTCCTTCCTGCTACGAACTCCTCCCCCTGGACGCTGCTTTTGCTGTTCTCGCTGCTACATTTCTTCCACCTGCTGCCTTGTTTCTGACTCTTCCACCACGTGTCACCTGTCGCCTCTTTCCTCTGCCCTTAGGCTCCTGCTGTACTTTGCAGCCATGTTTCTGTCACCGTCAGCTTTTTCCCCATCGCAGGGCTGCGTTTTTCTACCCACTGCCACATTTCTAAGCCTCGCTGCCTCATTTCTGCCCCTGCCACATTCTCCTGGTCTGGTTCTTTTCCTCCCGAGACCATGGCCTGGGGCCCAGGCCTGCTGCTGCAGCGCCATCCAGCTGACGGGCGGCCACCCGCCTCGCCAACCTGGTTCTTCCCAGCCCCGGGAGCCTGACCCCACGCCCCTCCCCCTCCCAGCTGTTGTCTGCCCTTTTGCCGGGGGGCCTATTCTTAGGCCCCCAGCACGTGGGGAGCAGCTGCCATAGGGGGAGGGCTGGGTTGCTCTAGGGTTCCTTCGGGACACCTCTGGCCTGAATGGGCTCCAGACCCCACCCCAAAGCAGAAG